CTCAGCTTTGGTTTGGCCCCATGGGCCATCATTTGCCTCAGTTTACAGTTGCCAGGGAGGTAAGTGGTTTTAGCAACAACTTATCTTAAGCTACAAGGATGATCTGGGGGGACCATGGAAAGCCACATCTATCTCTAGAGTTAGCAAAGGAGCTAAACATTAACTTCCCGGTATAAGGATCAAAATCATAGATGAAGTGCCTTTGGTTGTTGGGGCTGGGGCTGTAGAACACTCATAAAAAAGAACACTTGGTGTTTAACATTGTTGAGGGTTTGGAGTTGGGTAATTTTGTTTGGTTGGAATCTGTTTCACTTGGGTAGTGGGAGCAAGTTTATTCCAGACATGACTACGGGTGAGTCCCTTCTTCTTTTCCAGGGTGTTCTAGAATTCTAAGGATAAAGAAAATGTTTTAGCTCCATCTCAACCCCTACTTCCTGCACAGCACGTTTTGCCCAGGCCTACGGTCTGCAATCCAGCAAGGTCACTCTGGGAGTCAGTCTTTCGGCTTCACGCACCCTTGGCCTTTGCTCAATTGCATACACCCCTTGGCACTGATGACTTAGCAGCATTGCATCCTTTTCTAGACATCAGGAAGCTTTCCTTTTCAAGCATCTGTGACGCAGCCCCTCTTCAGTCTTGACCCTTCTGGCAAGAGCTGATAGAAGGGACTTGTGATAGTATAGGCTAAGTAGGCTAGGTCTTGTTTGCTCTGGCATGGATATCTTCAAAGGCCAGGCCCCAGGGCGTTCACTTAAGGGAAATATTTCTACTACGAGCTCTCTTTTTACACAATTAACTTTGGCCAACCTGGTCTGCTTAGACCATCAGCATCAGTGTTTACAGTCCTGGCACCCCTTGCAAACTGACAACAATGTCAGGCCAGAAGGATAGTTAATAAAACTAACAGGAGTTATTTATGAGTTTCTTCTGATACAAGCCAAACACAAGATGTGAGAGTACGATGAAGCATCCTCGTGCTGTCGTAAACTGGCAGTTTTAGCAACATTCCTGAGGTGGTTGTATGCCAGCCATTTCTCTGAATAGTGAAGGGGTTCAGAACAGAGCACAACTCTGAAGCACTAAATTTGGGTCCCAGTGGGGACACTTACATGTGTGCAGGGATGGATGGTGAAATGAAGACAGAGGCATGCACCTCCCTTCCTCCCTTGAACCCTACCTGAGCCAGGGCCAGCAGTGTGGGTTTTAGTAGCAGTTGGCTCAATTCCTGTGGTGCCTCTGAAGTAATGAGGACATCTCCCAATAGTCTTTGCAGCAAAACAGGTGCTTACCTATTATGACACTGAGGTGCTGGGTCATTGGCAAGCTTCTTATTGACACATGTGAAGGAGACATGAGATAGGATGGGGGGAGCCAGACTTGGCTCCAATCATATAGATTTCATCATTTTTTTCCCCTTTCCTAAAAATTAGAAGTTTGCTTTACATCCTAGGTTCCTGGGAGACACAACTTCTAGGGATGGATGCCAGATGTGTGCATGCTATTTTATTGTTCAAAGAATGCCTGTTCTTAATCACCACGTCAGATACTGTTCACACGAAGAGTTGCTTCCCCAAATCGATCTAAGCATGTTTTAACTCTCTTTTCCCTGATGACAGTTAGAAGCTGCTGAAGGAGAGAGTGTGCAGCTCAAGCCTATCAAGGGTGCATTGCAAACTGGTGTTAGAACTAGGAGCTGAGGACCAGGCTGACTGTAAATCTTTTCTGGTTGGGACTCGCAGACTTTTGGTTGTGTTTACTTAGAATGTTAATAATTTTGGAAATTATTAAAATGGAACCAAAAGACTCTCCTTTTAAGAGGCTATTGAGAACACAAATCACTCTGCAAATATAATACACCAAGCTAGGCCAACACTCGACGCTTGCCATGAGTCTGCTGGAAGTGTGGTCACTTTCATATGACACTTCATGTTGGAATGAGAGAAGCGTGAGAAAAGCCCTTAAAAACTTGGCCTTAAAATTTCAATAACTGTGGTGGACAAAATGTTTTTACAATAACAGGAAAAAAAGAAAGAGAATCCCCCTCCCCCAAATATTGTTCTCCCTTTGGGTCAATATCATCCGTATTTTAGAACTCCCCTGTTTCAGGTGGTATCAGCACCAGGAGGAGGCCTTTCTGGATATTTTTCTTTCTTTGTGTGTGTTGAGTGTGTGAGCATATATGTGTGTTGGGGGAGGTGCGCATGCCTGGGCATGTGTGTAGAAATCAGAGGTTGATGTTGACTATGTCAATCATTTCTCCACCTAAGTCTCTACCTCCCAGCCTAGGATTACAGTTCTATGCTTTCATGTCAGACTTTGATTTACATGGTTGAGGGGGTCTGAACCTAGGCCCTCATGCTTGTACAGGACACATTACCCACTGAGCCATCTCCCCAGCCCATCCTTTCAGACTGAAGGGATTAATTTTCCCTGGACTCCTCATCACCTAGAATCCTGCTCTTTCTTCAAGCTCAATTGATGGCTTTCCCATGGGCCTTCAGTGTCCTTGGGGCCACTGCTGCCTCTGTTAGTCAGTTTTCCTTTACTGGAATAAAATACCTGAGAAAACGTAAAGAGAGGAAATGTTTGTTTTGGCCCACAGTTTGGGGAGTTTCATTCTATAGACAGGTTCATGCTAAGGTGGCTTATCAAGGAAGGAGTGTATGGTGAGGAGGCTGCTCACCTCTTGGCAGCCAGGAACTGAAGAGAGAGAGAGGAAGAGACACTTATCACACAATCTCTTTCTAGGGCATACCTACAATGACTTAAAGGCCTACTAAGTGCCACCTCTTAGAGGGCCCTCCACATAGGGATTCAGGGGCACACATGAATCTTGGATGATAATTAAGATCCCAATTATACCAGGGAGGTAATGCTATTAACAAAGCCTTTCATAGTGCCTATTCTAGGATCAGTTCTCCAGGAATACTGATAAAGGAATCATCTTTGAGGTGATGTGCAAGCCACTTGTCACTTGGACATGGACTAGTAACTGTGATGCCCACTTTGACTTAGCATGGGCATTGTAACACAATTATTTTTAAGAAGGAGATAGCTATCCTTATGGAAAACTTAAATTACATAGCTGGGATCCTGTGTTCAAATTCTTCATATACTATCTTCCTGATGTTGGCAGATTGTATAACCTTTCAAAGCCTGTTTCTTCACCTATGAAATTGGAAAAGTAATAGGAACTACTTTATGGAGCTCTGGTTATTAGTTATATTTACATAGGAAATGAAACTCTAAGCCTTCTAATGTGCTTTGGAGACCAGTAAATATTAGCCATTCTATTAAATAGCCACATTAGCTTAGATTTTGAAGAATTTCTTACATTAAGCATATTTCAGTCAATGGTTATATCTGATATATAACATGATAACTAACATACACTAAATAACTATATATTGATATTTTTATTGTTATATATTTGTTTTGGACTGCGTGAATTAACAGAGAAGGAGTTCATGCAGCTCAACAAATGGGGAGATACGCAGAGAATGAATGAATGAAGAAGATAGTGATGCTGATGTTGATGGCAAAGACTGAGCCAGGAACCACAGGTGGAAAATGAGATGCTGTCAGTGTTGCTTGAACAAGTTCATAAAAATAGGACAACATGACTTGAACTTTGAACTCCATCTTCACTTTAGTCCGAAGTTGGTTTTCCTTCCACAAGACAAAATAGGAATAATTTTCCTCTAATTTTCACTCCTTATTTGAACTTGCATCAGTCGCCTACTATATGGACTAGAGAAAATAACCCATGCTTATGATAGCCTTTGAATCAGCATCAGGCAGCTTTGGATTCACCACTAGGAATTGGAATCTGATTTATAATTTGCTTAGATGATTTGAACACCATAGTGATGTTAAGCTCTAAATGTCACTATTTATACGAAATGATGAAGGGAGATATAGCTGTTAACGTTCTAAGCCTATGTGCATCTCTCGCTTGGGTACTTGAGTACCTAAGTTTTTAGAAATTTGTAAGCTTTCCTTGACCTCTGTTGTCTAACTTTTCTAATCATATCCCTGTCATGTGGTTAACTAGTTGAGGTCCAAATCCTGGGCCATTTTTTAGTGGTTTTGCAATCTCAGGTGACTGACTAAACTTCCATGGGCCTCAGCTTGCTTCACTGTGAAGTAGGGAGAAAGACTGACTGTGGGTCCAACCTAAGCCTGCTCTGAGGCTCAAAGGAGACCTAAAGAGATATGTGAATGCCAAGCACTGAATACAGCATTAACCCCTGTTCTGCCCACCTGCACAGTAATATACTAACTGGTATCATTATTACTTCTGTACAGTGGCTTGAACTACCTTGACAGCACTCACTTTAATTTTTTATTTTATTTTTTACTTTTTGTCTTTTTTGAGACAGGGTCTCCCCTGTAGCCCCAGCTGGCCTGGAACTCACTATGTAGACCAGGCTGGCCTGGAACTTACAAGTGCCTCCCAAGTGCTGGGATTAAAGGCATGTGCCACCACACCCTGCTACTTTAATTTTTTTTAAAGTGTTCAACTTATGTACTATATTAGTGACTTTTGCTTATTGCTGTGACCTGACAGGAAGCAGCTTAAGGGAGGAAGAGCTGGAAGGCAAGGTGGGAGGATTACAAGCGATATTCTTCAGCAGCCAGGAGAAGCAGACTGGAAGTAGGACCAGCCTAGCAACTTTCAAAGCCAACCCCAGTGACTCACTTCCTCTAGAAAGGTTCTGCCTCCTGAAGGTTGCTCAGACTTCAAAGCAGCTCCATCAACTGTGGCCCAAGTGTTCAGACAACATTAGCTACAAGACCCATATCACATTCCAACCACAATATGAGCATTTCTAACTGTTATGAATCACTTCAGCCCTCTCTGCCTAAAGGGCAATCATGGCTGCCTCCTATTTAATCATGTCAGACTCCCATGCCTCTGTGTACCCAGTCATGAGCACTGAGAGGAAAAGAAGGATGTTCACTCGATAACCTTTCCCATCCCACTCTTCTCGTTGCAGAATGTTCTGGAAGCTCTCGCTGACCCTGTTCCTGGTGGCTGTGCTGGTCAAGGTAGCCGAAGCCCGGAAGAACCGGCCAGCGGGCGCCATCCCCTCACCCTACAAGGACGGCAGCAGCAATAACTCGGAGAGATGGCAGCACCAGATCAAGGAGGTGCTGGCCTCCAGTCAGGAGGCCCTGGTGGTCACCGAGCGCAAGTACCTCAAGAGTGACTGGTGCAAGACCCAGCCGCTGCGGCAGACTGTGAGCGAGGAGGGCTGCCGCAGCCGCACCATCTTCAACCGCTTCTGTTATGGTCAGTGCAATTCCTTCTACATCCCGAGGCACGTGAAGAAGGAAGAGGAGTCCTTCCAGTCCTGCGCCTTCTGCAAGCCCCAGCGCGTCACCTCGGTAGTTGTGGAGCTGGAATGCCCCGGTCTTGATCCACCTTTCCGAATCAAAAAAATCCAGAAGGTGAAGCAGTGCAGGTGCATGTCTGTGAACCTGAGCGACTCAGACAAGCAGTGAGCACCCTCGGTGCAGGAAGACACAGCCCAGCCTTGCATGTGCCCTGCCCCAGCCCCCTCCCCGAGCTCACTCACACGCTGTCTGGAGTCCCCCTGTCAGCAGCAACCGGGTCTCTTGGGGCTGACAGTGTCCTTGTCACAAACGTGGACCGCAAGTGGAGGTTTGCTGATGTGCTCCTGACGGCCACACTTGTGTCTCCAAAAACAGGCCGTGGATCAGGCACGATGGAAGATGCTGGAAAACTTCTCCCAGCAACTAGAGAGGACCCTTCGGGTGATGCACTGTCAATCCGGCATGGATGTTTCCACCATGTGGAAAAGCCTGCCTTTACCTGGCCGCATCCTACACTCCAGCTCGACCAGCCTTCATTTGTCTGACTCAAACTTCTGCGGGCCACAGGAGCTCTAAGGGGGTGGGCATTCATTTTGCTGATCTGAGGGTTGCCCTGGGCTCTGTTGTGATGCGGATGTGGGCAGAGCAGGTAAAGAGGATACACACAGTCAAGGGGTCTCGAGGTGGGGCAAGGTGAGCCAAGTGGATCAGGAAATGGGCTTCCCTGGGGACTGCATTCACAGCAGGCTAGACCCTTCACACCTGCAGACACTACCACCTCCTCTTCCTTGCTCCTTATGGCCCCCATCTGTGGACTCAAGATGGACTCTGGTGTGTATGCTATTCCTGCTGCCCTGCTGCAGTTAGCCTGTCATCCCACACAAGAGCTGTATTAACGTCTATTTCATAATTGATTTACATTGTAAGGAGCTGATCAGAGTATTACAGACCTGTTCATGTATTGCTTTCACATGTTTTGATTCTGGCTTTGCAGCACCACTCTGAGTAGGGAGCAGAGCAGGGGATGACCTGTGGGAAAGGTATTTTACTAATACTGCCTCATCAGCAACTCACTGCCATGCACCTGCCTTAGTTTGTCAGGGAGATGGGACACATCATAGTTTTACTTTCAATATTATGTCACCAAAGTTACAAGCATTTCAGCACAGTGTAGAAATTTGATTAGATCGGAAGTGTATGCAGAGCTGGAGTAACTGGGAAGTTGTATTTTTCAATATGCACATGTGGGATGAGACCAGATACTGTTTTAGCTGCCATGGCACTAAGCAAAATAAACATTTGCTATTAAAAGGTGTTTAATAATATAAGGAATTGAGACACTTTGCAGGACAGTAGGGCACTAAAAATAAATATAGAGACAGTAGTAACATAGTTGAAATGTCCCTCAGAAAATAGCTTCCTTTCCAAAGAATAGACTTTGAAAAATACGAGGAAACATTAGGTCACTTTCCATTTTTGATGAATGGTTAAAGTTTGTTGTGGTCTTTTGATATGAGGAGATCCAAATAACTCATTTTCCTTCAAAATTATACTCACTTTTGATCTCTTTGCTCAACTGCCCTGGGGAGGTCTCTCTGAGAATGACAGGTATCAAATCTGTTGAATATGAATGAGAAGCCATTTGTGGGAATCACAGTACACTAAAACCTTTGGTTGGGGATTTCAGAGTGAGTGCTTTTGCCAAAGGCAGGTTCCCTCATATGTAAGAGAGACCCTCCACAAGCTGCTCAGAGACTCAGGCTCTAGAGGTCCTGGGGTGACAGTGGCTCTGCAGTCTGCCACCAGGAAGAGGAAGACTGGGATTGGCTGGGGTGGGGTGTTTCAGTGAATCTGTTGCCTGCCACTGCAATACAAGTTTTTAAATTTTTGTCACTTCTGCAATGCAGCACAGACTGTGCAGTTTTGAAAGGGGGTGTCTTAACTTCAGAGATGGGGGTACACAATCTGAAACCTGGAGACAGAATGATAGAAAATCAGGGCAGGCTAGAACCTGAGGATGGAGGCAAAAAATACGCAGTATGCCTGAGGTCAGGGCTGAAATTTTTGCATTTAGCAGAAAACCTTGTTAGAGTCCATGCAGAACATGCAGGAGAAAAGCTGTGAAGGAAGGACATCCACATGATCCTAATGGAGACTGACAGAGAGCAATCAGAGGGGAGGGGAAAGGAGGAGCATCTCACACTCAACTGCAAAACCAATCCATATCACTTTATTAACAGAACCCACAGAAGTAGGGGAAGAGTTAAGCTAAGAATCCACATAATATAAACGAGCACTCGCTTTGATTCCAGTCATGGGTGTACCAACAGTCCGTGGCTCCTCCTGGAGTTATTGTATGTATAAAGTTTACCTTATAATGGCTCAAATTGTATTTAATTTTTTGTTTTGTTTATAAATGAAGAAAAGCTATAAGTATAATGTAATTATTTTATAGGTATACTATTAAGTTATAGAACAAATAAAGATACTCTAGGATTAAATGTGATCCTGGTGTGACATGCCATAAAAGCGGAATTCTCCACTTATGTCCATGGGTAGCAAAATGGTTCTGTGTGCTCAGAGTCCATTTCTCTGACCCCATGAGTTCAGCCCTGGCTTATGTCACAAACTCTCCCTGAGGGCTTGACATCTTCTAGTTGAACAAGCAGAGCTGGTGGGGACGGTTTTTAGTCCTGGTTTTTAGGAGCTCCAAGCCTCTCCCAAAACGTTCACCAGCAGAATAGAGGATATATTTAGTTCTCAGAATAAGGAAACCTGGATGAGGAAGCTTTAAGGAAAGGCTGCAAGGGGCAGCCCACAGTAAATCTCATCTCTCTTGCGGCCAGGGCACTGCACTTGTGTCTTACCTAAGCCAGAATTGTCCTGAGTTCTAACTTTGTATTTACTTCTCACAGCTTTCACCATTTCTTTATTTAAATACTTCTCAGTTTCTTCATTTTCCTACAAATTGAACTATCTGCCACTAAGAAATGCAATGATCAATAAAAATAAAAATATATAAAATTACACATGGATGATTCACTGTGTAGAATTTTACAGATGTTGATTTTAAGGATTTAAAGATCTTGGTCAATACATAAGAATATTCCACTTCAGTCTATGGTATTATAATTGGCTGGTTTTTCAAGTTGGCTGACTGAATTTTAGGTTGTAAAGTCAATGAGAATGAGCTATTGCTATTGAGTGAAAAATTTAGAGTACGTGTATTCCCTTAATGATTAAGTTATCATCATTGATTATTAATGTCTACGTGGAAGATAATATGATCATAAATAATACAATTGAAGCTTGTTGATTCTCAGGAAATCTACTGAGTCCCCTTGAAACCCTATCGCCCCTTGGCACCTATTTCACCTAATCCATAGTCACAATCTCTCTAGGGAAGCTGGTAGCCCAGTCATGGGACTAAAAGTGACCTATGTGACACCACATGGTGTTTGTTGGTTTCTCTAGTTTTCAGTCTAGAATGTGGGTAATAAAAAACAATTAAGAGAATTCACTGCATACCGTTCTTTGAATCCCAAGATTCCTTACCTGGCCCACCTTTGTTCCCTCACCTTGTAGCCCTTCAGGTGTTTGTTTTATTTATTGATACACAGAGGTTTACTGGGAGGGAGAGAGAAAGTGTGTCTACCCCATTTGGTCTGGTATCAGAAGTGTCCCAAATCCTTGTAAGCTTAGTCAGCCATGCTCTAAGGTACCTTGATCTCTCACAGGCTTGACACTTTCTCTCTTGGCACTGCCACACCTGGCATTAACTACACTGAGGGTCAGTGGAGTGTTAGATAGAACCCCGAAAAATCCAGATCTCTCCAGGCTAGATTCTGACAAGAGGCACAAGAATGAAAATAGGCTGGAGGCAACACCACAAACACAAATGGGAACCATCCCATGGAAAAGACGATTTCACTGGGCTCTCTTTCTGACAGATGGGTGAAAGTGCTCTGGAAAAGACGTAGCCTCAGTTTCATGGCTGCCACTGGGACTCCTGCCATTTCCCAACTTCTGCCGTTGTGTTGCTGGAGCCAACACGGTCAAATAAATGGACTCTGACAGGGGCCACTGCAAATTAAAGTCTTTCAGGGCTTAGCTCATCTCTCCTCCCTTCTAGAATTCAGTATTCCTTTTCATTTTCTCTTTTTGCTGACTAAGGATACGGTTCAGAGCTTATGCTTGTTCCTTCCAACTACAAGAGTTCTTTCTTGAGATCAACGACTAAGGGTGAGACTTCTTCAAAGTAGCAACCTAACTTTTCTAATTATGCATTTGGAAAAGAAGTAAAGGATCAGCAGGTCTGTCCATGGAGCAGTGGGCCCACCAAGAGCCAGACTTTGGCTATGGTTTTAGTAGCCCCTATTTCTCCACTATAACAGGACCCATGATTGCTCATTCAGTCTCCGGGAATCGGTGCCAATTCCAACCCAGTGTTGAAAATCCTCAAAAGCGTTGAGCATTCCCCTCTTCTCCAAAGACATTTACTTTAAAAAGTGATCCAAAGTTCCTAGGTTAAGGAATGGGGAGGTCATATATGAACAGAATTGCTCTGGTACTGTAGGGTCTTTACGCACAGGGAATCAGACACTCCTTCAGCCAAAGCATTCCAAGTCTTATCTGGAAACTTGGCAAGGGGTTATAGTTTTATCATTCCATCTTTAACCATCAATTGTTGATTTTTTTATTGGGTAAATTAAGCAATATTCTTGTTAGTAGCCTATCTAGAAACATAGAAATTTGCCTCCAGAAATACCATATTCCTCAACCACCTCCAACTTAGAACTCTCTTGAGATGCCACTATAATTCCACCATGCTTTGCAAAAATATGTCTACATCACTTCCAAAAGCTAAGCACTAAGGCCTGGTTTGTGTTATTTGGGGATTTTGCTATTGTGTCCATCAGCTTTGAGTTTTATAACAGTATTTCTTTTTACATTTGGTCATGGTCTACAGATCAAAGGTACAACTGTACTGCTTTAACAAGTACAGGCTTATTATGTTGGTAAACAGAGACCTTTCTGGGAATATAGTAGGATTTAAAAATTTTTAAATGTATTTTTGCAAAG